TTATAGAAGCTGTGACAATAAAGTAACCATTATAGTAGCTGTGACAATAAAGTAACCATTATAGTAGCTGTGACAATAAAGTAACCATTATAGTAGCTGTGACAATACAGTAACCATTATAGAAGATGTGACAATAAAATAACCATTATAGAAGCTGTGACAATAAAGTAACCATTATAGTAGCTGTGACAATAAAGTAACCATTATAGTAGCTGTGACAATACAGTAACCATTATAGAAGATGTGACAATAAAATAACCATTATAGAAGCTGTGACAATAAAATAACCATTATAGAAGCTGTGACAATAAAGTAACCATTATAGTAGCTGTGACAATAAAGTAACCATTATAGAAGCTGTGACAATAAAATAACCATTATAGAAGCTGTGACAATAAAGTAACCATTATAGAAGCTGTGACAATAAAGTCACCATTAAAGAAGCTGTGACAATAAAGTAACCATTATAGTAGCTGTGACAATAAAGTAACCATTATAGTAGCTGTGACAATAAAGTAATCATTATAGAAGCTGTGACAATAAAGTAACCATTATAGAAGCTGTGACAATACAGTAACCATTATAGAAGCTGTAACAGTAAAGTAACCATTATAGAAGCTGTGACAATAAAGTAACCATTATAGAAGCTGTGACAATACAGTAACCATTATAGAAACTGTGACAATAAAGTAACCATTATAAAAGCTATGACAATAAAGTAACCATTATAGAAGCTGTGACAATAAAGTAACCATTATAGAAGCTGTGACAATAAAGTAACCATTATAGAAGATGCAACAATAAAGTAACTATTAAAAAAGATGCAACAATGTAGTAACCATTATTAAAGCTGTGACAATAAAGTAACCATTAAAGAAGCTGTGACAGTAAAGTAACCATTAAAGAAGCTGTGACAATAAAGTAACCATTATAGAAACTGTGACAATAAAGTAACCATTATAGAAACTGTGACACTAAAGTAACTATTAAAAAAGATGCAACAATGTAGTAACCATTATTAAAGATGCAACAATGTAGTAACCATTATTAAAGCTGTAACAATGAAGTAACCATTATTGAAGCTGTGACAATAAAGTAACCATTATAGAAGATGCAACAATGTAATAACCATTATTAAAGCTGTGACAATAGCGTTACCATTAAAGAAGCTGTGACAATTTCAGGGGACAACTCCAAACACTGTGAAGAAGGCTCTAACTTGTAGAATCAGCCTGATTAGGTAATGTAAACTAATATTTCTTCTGTAATTTTTGTAAGAAATCTTTTAGAAGGACAGAGATAAATTCCTGTAAGTTTTTTCTAAGGCAGAGGAAAATAACTTTGTGTTGTAACAATTGGTTATATTTTATTCAACAAAAATAGTGTGCAACAAAAAATGAACTTTAGAAATTTCTTTTTATATTTGAAAAACTTTTTATTGTATCTTCTGATAACAATAATAATAGTTGTTATAAATGTGACACAACATCTTAATCTTTTTAGTTATAAATGTGACACATCTAAATGTTTTTAGTTCTTATAAATGTGACACATCTAAATCTTTTTAGTTATAAATGTGACACATCTAATCTTTTTAGTTGTTATAAATGTGACACAACATCTAAATCTTTTTAGTTGTTATAAATGTGACATCTAAATCTTTTTAGTTGTTATAAATGTGACACATCTAAATCTTTTTAGTTGTTATAAATGTGACACATTGTCTAAATCTTTTTAGTTGTGATAAATGTGATACATCTTCTAAATCTTTTTAGTTATAATGGTGACACATTGTCTAAATCTTTTTAGTTGTTATAAAAGTGACACATCATTTAAATCTTTTTAGTTGTTATAAAAGTGACACATCGTTTAAATCTTTTTAGTTGTTACAAAGGTGACATATTGTCTAAATCTTATACAAAATACACATTTACATGTAGATTTATTAATCTTTTCTGTGTTTTTTTTTTCTCTACTTGTATAAAGAATTTCCTAAACCTGTGGTTTACAACCTTTTCGTATGATCCTACCTTTCTAAACACGTTTTTTGCCCCCCACCCCATGTAACATATGTTTGTACATATTGTACATGTCATTTTCCAGTATTAATTGTTGTTACTCTATTACTATGACTTGGTTGTTATGGTGCTCAACCCACAACCTGAGGGTTGCAAGTTTGAACCCCCTTCATGCCCATCCTAAGTAGTTGCCTATTCTTAAGTTAAAAAATTACAGGACAACTTTAAAGTAGTTGGGATTAAGGTTGTTGAGGGAAAAAAAAAACTATATTACTTAATAGTAGTAATATTTGTACATTATTTTTTTAAGTTTGGAATTTCAGATATAACTTATATGCATCTATAGTCATACTTATGTGCCTCCTTTAAACATCCCTCCATGCCCTTTTGGGGGCTTATTCTTACACTTTGCATACCATTGCCCTAAATTGTGAGTTTAGGTACTTTTATCATACATAAAATCAACTACTTGTAACCAATACTTCTTAAGACACATATCATACAGATGTATAAATTTACAGACAAAATTAGTGTTTCTGCTTCTAAAGCTAAAAGAAATGATACATTTTTTATTGTGAGAATCAATGAATTATAAATTTTAATTTTAGAAACTTGGAGTATAAAAATGTTCTATGCATTATTTAATTTGTAAGATATTTTAGATTTCAGTAATGACAACTATGTTCTGTATTTATTCTCTGGTCAATAACTGATTTTAAAATCAGCAATATCCTATTATCTTTAAAACGTCAACTTAACCCAAGTACTTGTGTTTATTTTATTTAATATTCATCAGGAAGTTTTTATCTTCTAGGAACTCCTCTAGTTCTCAGCACCAGCATTGTGAAGACACAATTACTAGTCGTGGAAGTAACCGTGCAGCAGCATCTTGTCTCCAAATGTTTCTAGGCTTAGTATCTCTTCGCCACACTGTTTGTGTCCTTTCACCTCGTAGTTAGAGCTAACTGTTTAACAAAACTCACTTATCACTAAAATTACATTTTCAAATCTCTGGAGTAAAGAATTCAACTCCTGGTGGTATGTTTGGTTACAGAAATGACACTATTGATGTTAGGTTTAGGTATGATATGAGTGGGAAGATGTGTGATGTGTAGGAAGATTCAGTAATGACACTATAAATGTTAGGTTTAGGTATGATATAAGTGTGATGTGTAGAAAGATTCAGTAATGACACTATAAATGTTAGGTTTAGGTATGATATAAGTGTGATGTGTAGGAAGATGCAGCAATGACACTATAAATGTTAGGTTTAGGTATGATATAAGTAAGATGTGTAGGAAGATACAGCAATGACACTATAAATGTAAGGTATAGGTATGATATAAGTGTGATGTGTAGGAAGATACAGCAATGACACTATAAATGTAAGGTTTAGGTATGATATAAGTGTGATGTGTAGGAAGATACAGCAATGGCACTATAAATGTAAGGTTTAGGTATGATATAAGTAAGATGTGTAGGAAGATACAGCAATGACACTATAAATGTTAGGTTTAGGTATGATATAAGTAAGATGTGTAGGAAGATGCAGCAATGACACTATAAATGTTAGGTTTAGGTATGATATAAGTAAGATGTGTAGGAAGATACAGCAATGACACTATAAATGTTAGGTTTAGGTGTGATATAAGTGTGATGTGTAGGAAGATACAGCAATGACACTATAAATGTTAGGTTTAGGTATGATGTAAGTAAGATGTGTAGGAAGATACAGCAATGACACTATAAATGTTAGGTTTAGGTATGATATAAGTAAGATGTGTAGGAAGATACAGCAATGACACTATAAATGTTAGGTTTAGGTATGATATAATTGAGATGTGTAGGAAGATACAGCAATGACACTATAAATGTTAGGTTTAGGTATGATATAAGTAAGATGTGTAGGAAGATACAGTAACA